TGGCCATTTTAATGACCATTCACGTATACCAGAAGTAAAACAAATCTTACGAAATACTCTGTGAATTTTGTTCTTCCTTTTAGTCAGCAAGCACAAAACTTCATAGATGTACAGTATATGAGTCTGTTTGTACATCTATTATAAACGTGTAAAGAACAATACGTACTGTATGTAACAATGTGGCCTTGCAAGGAAAAAAAAGGTTTCTGTGTGCCTATTAAAGGCAGTCAGTTAAAGAGTTAATTAAGGCATCATTCACTCCTCAGGGCTCTTCTGAGACAGAGTATAATTTTCTGTAATGTGTATTGTTCATTGCCTGGGCCTGTGTGAAAAACCTGGTACTACAGAAAGAATTCTCTATGGAATTTTGCAGGGGTCATTACAAATTTCACAGTTGAAGCCACAGCATCTGCAAACTGGAATCCAGGAGTTTTCCAGATACAGTATATGGAAGATGTAAAACTGAATATGAACCTTGTGTATCAGATTTAGAAAAGCCCTTTATTTGTTATATAAAATTGGCTTTCTAGGCACATTCTAGGAGAGACAGGAATAGTTTTCAGTTTGCTTATGAAATGTTAACTTATATGAACCCTGCATTCCATTTGGAACATAATTAATCAAATTAAAACTGAAACATTTTGGCTGCCAAAAGACGAAGCAGCATATTTAAAGACCCCATATAAGGCATGGAGTCTTTCATAATTATATATAATTATAATTAATTTATAATTATATAATTATATTAAGGATATTTGTAATTAATTCCTTTTCATCAAAGTTATTATCAAAAGATCCTTTATTTGAGAATTCTCTTTATTAGTTCATTGATATCTCTTTTAACATCTACAGTATATTTATCCCTGAGGATTTGTATTTTTTTCCTTTTTTGCATGTGTTTTTTTACCTTTTTACTGGATATTGTGATGTTTGAGTTCATATTTTAATATATATATACTACATACTGTGTATCCGATTTTCATAACATTCTATAACTCATTTGTTCCTGTAAGGCTCTAAGAAATTAGAATTTATCACATCGTGTTGGTGAGTTGGACATCCTAAATAATAGAGTATTTATACAGTCTTTAATATAGTCACAGGCTTTATTTTTTTAGGAATATGGAGCATTTTCCAAACAGAGGTCATGGATTTATGTTGCTATTCCTAGAAGGAAGATAATATGTCATTTTTTATTTGTTTAGCTTTCCATTTGTTACATTAGCACTACCAGCAGTATCCTGTTCAGATTTATTCCAATCTTTCATATGCCATCTTTACTTCCCCCCTTTGTCATTCGTAATAATGTTTCAAATGAAAAGTTACGACACAACAACTGAAACTTAACTAAATCACTGTTATACACAGTTCGACCTCATCGATCTTTTCTGCTTGGTTCACCCTTATTTGACTCTTCTTCCTCCCCGCAGCATGATCACATTTTCAGAGTCATCAGTTTGTGTCACATTAGCTAGCTAGCATTCCCCCCAAAAAATTATACCAGGAAGAATAACACCAAGTAAGAAACTAAACAAGGATATCATGAATTAATCCTTTGACCTGCCCTCACACAGCTGTTTTGTCAGTCGAGTCACAAATTGTAAAGGAGAAAATAAAATGTAACCTTTTCCTACTGTTTTACAATTAATTCTTATGATACCGTTCACATTGTATGACAATGTATGATTTATTTTTAATCCTTTCAGTTAATTTCATGCTGATAAGTAGTTGGGGAAATTATTTGGTATTTCGATATATCTCATCTGCTGTAAATCTACACTTAAACATGTTGAAAAATGTATTCAAGATATATTTGCTAAATGAACATGGTCTAGTTATATGAAATAGTTTGTTTTAAAGATAGCAAATTGCCTAGAAATGTCTAATAGTCACTTGATTTTGGTCTTTCACAGTATACTGCACATGAAGGTTTTTAATAACAAATGTAGGTGGAATTTATAGTGAAAGATGTTTCACACTAAGATCACAGCCTCTCCTACTTTGATTGATATTGGAACTTTTTTTTTTAAAAAAAAGCATATGAATTTGTTGGTAATTACAGATCTTGGAAGAAGTTGTTTCATGGCCTGCAGCAGATTAAATACACTAGTATGAAATTGTTGCTTTTAGTATTTAGTGAGGAGGGCGCTCCTTCAGAGATGAGCCACAGTATAAGCACATTTCTGTTGATGTGAACAGCAAGGAAAATACAACTATTATTCAGTAAAACTAGCTACAAGGGAAAGCTAATTGCCAGTGAATTTTAATTTTAAATATACAGAACTCCTAACTCTAGCAACCTGTTAAAGCCTAAGTTACTAATGTAAAATAATACCTAAAATAATTTCTGCTCATAATAAATTAGTTTATGGCAAGCAAACTACAATAATTCTAGATAGAAATGGGCACAAACTTGGATGCTTTACAATTTGCAATCCAAAAACAAGTCCATCTCCTAAATTCAATTTCAGATAGCTGTGCAATGGAAATGCTTATTTTAGAAAGATGTAAGCTTGCTTCTGTACCCCATGTAGCCTATGTTAAATCATTGCAATGTAGAAGTAGAGTAGAGTAACCCTAAGTAACAGTGAGAATGTGACAGCTTTAGTCATTTATGATTTACTTTTTGTTGAGCCATAATGTTTCTTTTTGCACCACTTAATGTGGCCACTTGTGATTATTTTTAGAGATATTCTCCAGAGCACAGCCTCTCGTATACGTGGAGCTGCTGTTAGAAACTTTGGTTGAGGCTCTGCTGCTTTCAACAGCAGCTGAAAGGGAGGCTAGACTTGGGCAGCTGTTGTCTAATGACAACCTCCTGACTGCACAGACTGCTCTGCTACTCCCTGGATAACACTGCGCTGCTCCGGGTTTGTCTTTCTCGCTTCTCCCTAGGAGGCAGGTGGTGCATATTTTGCTGGCTGCCCCTTTTCAATCTTCCCCCTGAAAGTGGTCTGTGCACCATCGAAACTGCCAGAAACATTCTTGTGAGAGGTCCCAATCATAGCCTGATCTTGAGTTTTTGAATAACTGCAGTTCTTCTCAAAGGCAATTGTTTTTTACATTAAAGTTAAATGGAATGGTACAAAATATTTATTTCTGACACTAGACCTCCGAGACAGTCTAGCTCTCTGTTTTTACATTTCTGCACTTTTCTCTGTTCATACACTACCACAGCCCCATTTATTCTCCATCCTTGCTTCTCAGTGATGGAATGAACCACCCATGAATATCAGAACTATTTCCTGACCACCTGCTCAAACTCTCTTTAGACTGAGTTTAGATGGATCGCACCTGTGATGTTTCACCTTTCAACTATATCTTTCAATAACTTGTGTTGTATTGCACTGATGTTTTTAATTCCCAAACTACTAATGCACTTACAGATAATGTAAATATTGTACAGTATATATATAGTAAGTTCTCCTGGATAAGGGTGACTGCTAAGCAGACAAATAATAACTTAAATGTAGTAATTTAAAAGACTGGGGAACAGCTGTCTTACAGCAGAATTTAGAGACTTATATTTCATAAGAATTACCCTTTAACCTTTTTGGTTCTTCTAACATTCCAGTGAGACCTTTTTTTTTAAATTATGAATCTCATACTCATTAAAAAGCCCCTACTTACTTCAGATCCTGGTTTTATCTGATTAGAAATGGAAAAATTCCATAAAATAGCTCCAGATTTCACCGGCCTCTTTTAATGTTAGATAGAAGCAGTGCTTAGATAAAACAAATATCTCACAACTTAACTGTGGAGCTCTGGACCTCAACCTCTTCCTCTCTGTTTGTCTTCATTAAGTACTGTTATGGCTCAAGTAAAGAAATGGATGTTCCAGGCTAGAAACTCACTGAAAAAAAAAGAAACTGCCCATCCGTGGCAATCCTTGACAGTCACGGGATCAAAAGCTACAGTTAATCAGTTTTATTCCCTTCAACTTGAAATTCTCAGGGACACTTTGCAGATGAGCCAACAGATTACCCACAAACAGACGGCAAACGTTATTAACTCAGCATACGCTGGGGAAATCATTTTATGTGGAGACAGATAAGAACATAATCTTTTAAAGTTCTTGACTTGAAGAGATGGTTCACAAGATACAATGCTAATTTGTTAAACTATCACATTTTTCAAGTAGTAGACAGGCTATATTAGATATCATAGAAATATGCTTAACAATACGATACGGCAAAATTATCATTGAAATGCTAATGCTTGTACATTACTAGTTGAACATAAATTAAGCAAACCACAAGAGGTCGCACATAATCTCTACAATACCTCGGTCACAGAAGAAAAAAGTTTATTACCCTCTCATTTCTTTCCCCAAAACTATCTGTTGCCTCCCAAAATGCTTGCATTAATTGAATCTATTTATCTACATGTATTTCAAACATTTTTTTTTTCTTTGGCTGAAATGTTTGATGAGCATCACTGCTCATTGTGCTACTTAATTTATATTGGCATTAACTGTAGAAGCCTACAATTTTGTATGTGAAATTTAAGGACACATTTTTATATAGAACAAAACGATAAATAAGAAAAAACACCTTTGCAATTTCTATGTAGATTTAACTCATATTTTTGTAAAAGTTACGGAGCGACCGGTACGCATTTTTACACTCTCTTTCAAAGTATCACAAAATGTATCTGCAGATAACTCCTAATAATTCGGATTCCAGTAATACGATGTCATCTGAAATAATAAACATCCTTTATAGTCTTTCCTGGGCTTTGGCACACAATTCTGTTTGCACGTGATTTCTACATAAAATCAAAAGCCCAGCTTGGCAAACAGCAAGCTGAGCTCCGGGTCACCTCATTCAACCTGCTACAACTTCTACTAGCCGCTTTTAGGCAAACCCTACTCGTAAGATTGACATCATCGGCGTCCATTTACAACTTGGAAAGCGCATTCCACCGTAAATATCGCCCAATCGCTTGAAAAGGAGGGCGTGATTTCCTTACTCCTGGTTCCCAGGCGCTTGAAGTTTATAACAGAGCAGCTGCAGCAGGAGAATGCAGTGTCTTTGCACTGCAGTCTGTGTAGGATTTTGGAGATTTTAGGCTGCCTTCTTCTAACTTTTTTTATTTTTCGTTCGTGGTTTACTAGGAGTGTGCAGGGTAACTGCGCGGTTTCTCTTAATTTACAGAAAATAGCAAAAATGGATTTGCAGCGGCAAAGGACTGCATCTTTAGCTGCTCCACTGTGCACACTCCTGCTTGTCGCTGCGACTCTGACAGGTAACATCTACGGACAAGTCTTTGACAGTTTTGGATTATCCTACGCACTGACATCCGGACCGTCAGAAGATGCGATATTGGTTGCCAACAATGGAATACGTGTGCCGTTTGGAAGATCAGTTTTTATTGATCCCATCAATGATTTAGTAATCCAGGTTCAACCGGGAGACAGATGCAGCATTACAGTATTGGATAATGATCCTTTATCGCAGAGACCGGGACATCTAACTCCTAAAAAGTTTCCATGTGACTTTGGCCCCAACGACGTCAAGTACTCACATTTCGGTTCAAGGAGCCCCTCGAAGGACAGAGTCAAGATGCAACTCAGGTATGACACTCAAACTGATACTATAATCATACCGTTTATGATGGAAGTAGAGGTCATTTTCACCCAGCTGGAGGTATTAACCAGAAACATGCCTCTTACAGTAGAAAAGCTCCTTGGTACAAGCAACCCCATTGATAGAAAGATTTTGGAGTTCACTTTTGATAGGAACATGCAGGTCTGCAAGATTTCCACTTTAGCAGGTGGCAGTGGCCTGCCTAGGTATGGGAAACTGATTAATGATAACAAAGCAGGAAAGGTGGTGGACTGTGATGAATTTATCAGACTAGACATACGTTATCAGCATACGTCTGCTAGCAGATCTCCAAACAGGGACTATATTCCCATGGTTGTGGAATTGCAAGACAAAGAGGGCAACCTGCTTAAACAAGAGTACTTTCAGATTATGGTCCGAATCCGAGAAGGAGAGGAAAACACAGCTCCTAAACCAAGTTTTGTGGCTATGATGATGATGGAAGTGGATCAATTTGTCATGACAGCTATTACCCCAGACATGCTAGCTGCAGAAGACACAGAATCCCATCCGGATGATTTAATCTTTAACATCACCTCTCCACTTTCCTTTGAGGAGGGATATATTGTTAGCACTGATGATCGAAATTTGCCAATCACTTCTTTTCGACAAGGTGACCTCAAGGAATTAAAAATAGCCTACAAACCCCCCTCTGTTGACTCTTCTACAGAAAGAATTTTCCAGATTGAGTTGGATGTGGTGGACACAGAGGGAGCTGTCTCAGACCCCTTTGCTTTCATGATTGTTGTGAAACCAATGAACACGCTGGCACCTGTTGTGACCAGGAATACTGGACAGCTCTTGTATGAAGGTCAGTCCAGACCATTGTCCAGTTCACACAATCTTGAAATCAGTGATGAAGATAACTTAGACAACGTCAGGGTCACTGTTATTGATGGACTAAGGCACGGTGAACTCACCGTTCTGGGGTCCAGAAAGAAATTTTTCACTCCAAAAGACCTTGATGCAGGCATTGTTATTTATCAGCACGATGGGAGTGACACCTACAGTGACAACATAATCTTCAGGATGACAGATGGCAAGAACGAAGTTGAATTTCTCTTTCCAATCACCATTGTGCCAACAGATGATGAGCCACCAATTGTAAATGCCAATACTGGACTTGTTCTATCTAAGAATGAAATGATGCCCATTTCCCCATTAGTGCTCAGTGCTGCTGACATTGACTCTGAAGATTCCACGATTAAATTCACAATTGAGGCTCCTTTTTCAACCATTGGAGAGGTCTTGCTGCGCCAGTCTGAGGCCCCTGAAGACCCAACATCTTGGATATTTGTAGCAGAAGATGGGGTGTATGAGAAAGTAGTGACAGAATGGCACCAGCAAGATATTACAGATGGGAAATTGTTTTATAGGCACACAGGACCACACAGCACCAGCACAGTCATGGATCAGTTTGTGTTTAGGGTTCAAGACGACAATGACCCCCCTAACCAGTCTGGAGAAAACACTTTTATCATTAAAATCCTTCCTGTTGATGATATTCCACCTGAACTATATCCCGGGACCACTCTTCAGATGACTGTACAAGAGTACCAGCTGACACATTTCAGAAAGAAATTTCTGCGCTACACTGATTTAGACTCAGAAGACAGAGATTTGAAATACACTATTATTCAGCCTCCCACTGACACTGATGAAAATAGCCCTGTTGAGCTTGGGTTTATTGTCTTAACGGAAAGCCCTGACACCATAGTCACTGAATTTACTCAAGCACAAATCAACCACCACAAAATCTCTTACAAGCCCCCAGACCTTGAACTTGGTATCACAGCACACGTAGTTCAGTTTCAGTACACAGTTGAGGACACTGCAGGAAATAGTGTGGAAGGCACATTCACCATCTTTTTGCAGCCTGTTGATAACAAACCTCCTCAGATAACAAACACTGGCTTCACTCTCTTTGAAAGAGGCACTCACATCTTCACCCGAGCAGAACTTGACACCATCGATGCTGATACTGACAGTAGACAAATTTCATTTACACTTACTCAGCCTCCACTTCATGGCCACATCCAGTATACATACACTGACATGACTGCAGGGGGTGCATTTAACTTAGATGACATTGCCAATGGTAGAATTACCTACATCCACAATGGTGATGAATCAACTAGCGATTCCTTTAAATTAGATGTCAGCGATGGTGTTCACATTGTTACGATAACTGTGAGGGTCACTGTCCGGCCCATAGATGATGAAGTACCAACCATTATGTTGCCTTCGGGCACCATTGGGTCTTACATGGATGTATTAGAAAATGGTGCAACTGAAATTACGACCAATGTCGTTCAGGGGAGAGATGAAGACACTGATGACCTAAGGCTGACTTTCATTGTAGAAGATGCTCCTACTTTAGGAGAAATCTTAGTGAATGGAGTGCCCTCTGAAAGGTTTACACAAGCTGATATTATCAATGGTTTGGTGGTCTATGCCCACACAAGTGGAGAAATTGGCCTTGTTAAAAAAGAAGACTATTTTAATCTGACCTTGACTGATATGTCGGATGAATGGACAGTTGGAGGCAATACAGTTACAGGGGTCCGAGTACAGATCACAATCCTCCCTGTGGATAGCCATGCTCCAGAGGTTACAGTAGGTCAGCAATTTACTGTTGTGGAAGGGGAGAAAAATGTTATTGGCTTTGAGCACATGAGAGCTGAAGATATTGATACTCCTAATGATGATCTTCTCTGCACAATCATTGTTCAGCCCACTTCTGGCTACATTGAAAACATCTCACCTGCTCCTGGTTCAGAAAAATCACGGTCAGGGACAGCTGTTAGTGCTTTCACCATTAAAGACCTTCGAATTGGGCATGTATATTATGTGCAGAGCATTCACAAAGGAGTTGAGCCAGTGGAGGACAGATTCACATTCAGGTGCTCTGATGGAATCAATTTTTCAGAGCAGCACTTCTTCCCCATCATTATAATCCCATCAAATGATGAAAAGCCTGAGATCTTTATGAGGGAGTTTGTGGTGATGGAGGGCATGAACATTGTGATTGACACACCAATTCTTAATGGTGCAGACATTGACATACCTAGCGATGATTTGACATTTATCATAAGTAAACCACCAAAGCATGGTTTCATAGTCAACCAGCTAACTACAGGCACAGTCCCAATCACAAACTTCACCCTAGATCAGATAAAGGAGGCTTCTAGTATTGTTTATGAGCATGATGACTCAGAGACTACAGAAGACAGCTTTAATGTTATACTGACAGATGGGAAATACACTGTGGAGAAAACTGTTATCGTTATGATCATCCCAGTGGATGATGAAACCCCCCGAATGGCAATTAATGATGGCCTGGAAATTGAGATAGGAGAGACAAAAATAATTAATAATAAGGTGCTAAAGGCTACTGATCTGGACTCTGAGGACAGCACATTGACTTACATAATTCGCTATGGCCCTGGCCAGGGATTCTTACAAAGGAAAACTCCTTTTGGTTCATTAGAAAATATTACTGTTGGAATGAACTTCACACAAAGTGAGGTGGACAGAAATCTCATTGTGTACATTCACAATGGACAAGAGGGCATCCGTGACCTCATCAAATTTGATGTCACTGATGGCACCAATCCTCTCATAGACAGGTACTTTTACATCACTGTTGGCAGCATTGACATGGTTTTCCCTGACGTTGTCAACAAAGGGGTTTCTTTGAAGGAAGGTGGAAGGGTGACACTTACAACAGACTTGCTTAGTACGACTGACTTAAATAGCCCAGATGAGAACCTGTTGTTCACAATTACCAGGGCTCCAGTTCGGGGGCATCTGGAATGCACTGACACTCCTGGTATGCCCATCTCTTCTTTCACACAGCTTCAGTTGGCAGGGAACAAAATTTACTACATTCATACATCAGATGACGAGGTTAAGATGGACAGCTTTGAGTTTGAAGTCACTGATGGCTACAACCCTGTGTTCCGCACCTTCCGTGTGTCCATCAGAGACGTGGACAACAAGAAGCCAGTGCTCACTGTTCACACTCTGGTGGTGCACGAGAGCGAGATCAAGCTGATCACCCCTTTTGAGCTAACAGTCGAAGACCGAGATACAGCCGATCATCTGCTAAAGTTCACCATCACCCAGGTGCCAGTCCATGGGAAGCTGCTGTTCAACAACACTAAATCAGTGACCTCCTTCACCAAGCAGGACTTGAATGAGAATATGATCAGCTATAGGCACGATGGCACGGAGTCTGCGGAAGACAGCTTCTCTTTCACTGTAACTGATGGAACTCACACTGACTTCTACGTCTTCCCGGACACTGTATTTGAAACACGCAAGCCACAAACAATGAAGATTGCCATAGTTTCAGTGGACAATGGTGTACCACAAATTGTGGTCAACAAAGGTGCTCCAACCCTGAGAGTGCTCACCACAGGACACCTTGGGTTCATGATCACAAGCAAGTCATTGAAGGCAGAGGACAGAGACAGCACCCAGGTTTCTCTGACATTCAAGATAACGCTGGGCCCTGAACATGGCTACCTCATCAATCTTGGCCAAGGGAATGCTTCCATTACCAGTTTCAGCCAAGGTAAGAAAGCCCTTATGATTAATATATTATACTAGTCACACAGGTATTCTTTAAGAGCTGCTTTATCATAAGTTTTATTTAAGTGGGTGTTGTACAGTTTGAATACCTGCTTTAAAAAGCTTTTAACATTTAAGCTGCAGCATTTCAAACTTTGCCAAGAGAGGAGGATGAAATCTTACAGAGTCAGCTTGAATTGAGCTTATAACTGAATAGCTCACTGGCACACTTTATGTTTTTTAGTTCATTCCTTTTATTCTTTAAGTGCTTAAAACTGAGTTTTTCCAGGAAGAAATTAACTGTTTCAACAGTTAATGTAGCTCTGTTTGCATTTTCTACCCAGAAAAACTCCCACTTTACATATTTTAAAGGTAAATTATTATATACATAGTTTGTTATTTTAAGCCATAGCAGCAGTGGTACAAGATTTATCTGGGGATAAGTACAATAGAACGAAATAGAAATAATAAAATACTAATCCATAACTTCAAGTAGCGTGTACTGTAATGCAATCCTTGAAATTACTAGAATATTCAATTTTAGCCACAATAAAATCACAGCAAGTTGATTCATTACCCATTAATATTAAAAGGGGAAAACAAGTCATGTTTTATAGATGTCGTGCCTACACTGTATTTTTTCATTTAAAACCCATCTTCAAAATATTTTAATGTGCTGTGAAAAATCAAACACTTGTGGTTTTTTATAATTGTGGCATCACAGTAAGCAGTTCCTCCTTCTGGCAACAGTACGGAAAGGTGTGTGTTATTTATTATGATTTTTATTATGTGTTTGTAAGTTCTTCTCATAATGGTTTTAAGGAAAATTGTATATTGCAATCACCTGCAGTTTGTCATTATCATAATCCAGTGCTTAAACATTTAATGGAAGATGCAGTTCTGTTTTGAAGCTTGACAGTATTTTATGATTTAAGATTAGTAACATCTGTTCTGTTTGTAGAAGAAGTTCAACGTCTGGTATAGTGCAATGTCTGCTCTTCCTGGTAAGCCTTTAATTTTGGCTGAAGGGATACAAGTATTCATTTGAATAAATCTCATTGGTGTTCAGTTTATGACACTGAGAAATGCCAAAGTAGGTATGTGAGGGACCTACAAAACTGTCAATTACCTGTTGTCAGGAGAAGGGATAAGGATTCCAAAAGTAATCATAGGCTTTTTCTGTCTCTAATGCCCACATGTGGTAACCTTACTTTTAATTTAACCACAAATAGGAAGCAAAACCTAGTGTTAAACACAAAAAGATCAGTGTCTCTAAGGACATTGAGTCAAGCATCTCAGGTATTAGCTAAATGGTCACAGAGAAGAAGAATAACTTGGTTTAACCTAATTTATTCTATGGCTTGCAGCTAAGAACATCTACAGCTGGGGAACATTTAATATTGTTTGAAAGTTTAAAATAAATGTAGGAAACATTAAGCATAAGGCACAGAAATAGAACAATCTTAATAGCAGTGTACAGTTAAATAAAATGAAATGGAAAGCTCTTGTGCTTTGCATGTTTTTCAAAATATAATTGAATTAAATTTTAGACAGGAAAAAATACAGTTAATCTGAGGAGTGATGAAACATTACAATGTCATGCCTAAAAAGGAATTATCTTTACAATTGGAAAATTAATTACATTTATAAATACAAAGAACGCATTACATGTTCATTCACAATTGTCATTCATTCAAAATAATCTTAGTTATTATTACACGTGAATGTGTGTTAATTTTTTATTTTGATTTTACATACAATACCTACTCCAAATCATACCTGGCTAAATGTCATTTGTAGTTTTCAGTTTAAGATTGCAGAATAGTTTCCCCCTTGAACATTGACAGCCATTACAATACTAATATATGTCTTTTGAACAAAGTTAGAATAGATCTAAGTATGAATGCTGAAATGAAATTATGATTTGCTATTTAAAAGGATGCTTCAAATGTATGTACAATATAGTATAAGAATACAATATAAAAATGTTCTATATTTTTTACTTTATAGACTGGCTGTTATATATAGAGATGCTGAAGTGCCTTGGAAGAATTGAGTAATATTTCGTATGTTGTTTCGCAATTTTCTGCATCAACATAAGAATGAAAAAGGTTTATTCGATTGATTTTAAGATTGATTTAATGTCAAAATTTGACGTCTCCTTAAAAATTCGTTTTAGAGGGCATGTTTAAAATAACCCTGAGTTCAATTCTGGAACTGGGGTGATATCTGTGTGGAGTTTGTATGTTCTCCCGGTTTCCTTCGGGTGCTTGTTTGCTCCCACAGTCCAAACATCTCCCATGGCTTCTGTGAAAATTTGCCCTTGGCGTGTGTGTCTGTGTCTGAGTGTGTTGCAATGGACTGGCATCCCATCTGGTTGCACACTTCCATGCGGCTGTTGCTTGCTGGGATAGACTCCTGCTCCTCCGTGGCCCTGAATTGGAAGAAGTGGTTTGATGGATTTGAGTTAAATCTTCTATTCACTGCTTATATTCAACTTCAGACAACTTCAGACAGCTCTTTTTCAGTTTCATGTTTCATATTTGTACACTCCATTTTTGTTATTTAGGTGCTTTTAATAACAGTTATAGTTTTACTGTAGTTTGTCACTAATAATGTTACTGCACTTTGCTTAGGAAAACTGATAATTTAATCAAGCTATTTTAAAAAGAATAATGAAGACTATTTTGTTCATTAAAATATCAATTAAAATAGGTGCTATGCTCACAAATGTGCTGTTTTCTCTGAAATAAAATTTTGATGTGTTTGACACCTTATTTCTTCTTTTTAGCTGACATTGATGATATGAAGATTTGCTATGTGCTGTCTGATGGAAGAAATGCCACTAGTGACATTTTCTACTTCACTATTGAAGACAACGGTAAGAAGTTCATATGTTTCCGATACATTCTTCATTGAAGGAACAGTGCAGGTTGAAGTTTTCCACATGTGAGGTTAATAAGGGCTTGTCTAAACAAATTTTTTGCTTTCAATTGAAGTTGTGTCTGCTTTCACACATTAGGCAGGTGCATGTTTATAAGAGAAATCCTAAACTCTGTGGAGAGCTCGAAAAGCTCTTAAATGTAAGCTGAACAGATTTTTTATTGATGGCGAAGTACATTTTTCTTTTATATAAAAAGGAAAGAAGATCTCCTAAAGTTCTTTTGGGACTTTTCTAAAAGGCTGGGGGTTTGGGTTTCCATTCAAGATCACTGAAAATAGATTTAAATATAAACAGAAAAGGGCATTTGCTTTTGCTGAGCCCTCACAATTAAGGAGTCTGGTTGAATTTTATTGTGTTGTGGTGATGGTATTTTATTTTGTTCAGAATTTACCATGTGTAAAAACTCATCTTTATCAGTTGGCTGGTGTTAAGATGCCTCCATGTACTATAGAGTCTGGAGTGGTAAAGCTTCAATAATAATAGGCTTCAGACATGTAGATTTACCACTTTATCATAAAGAAATCTCAGTTTTTTTTCTTGTTCTAACCTGATTGTTTGGAATACTGTAAGCTTTCATACATTTAGATTTTTTAATGGCTGGTTTATTCATTTCTATATGTCCTCAGAATAGATTTTGTGGACTTTACTACAGTATATTGTTCCCATTTTCTTTTGATCATGTACAGTATAACATAAATGCTAACAGTTTAGAGAATTACTTTCCACTGTGCCTCTGTGTTGGTAATTCTAAGAATATTTATATTTTAGAACTCTAGGAGAAAAGACTTTTCAAGACTTCCTTGACTAGAAATGGTCTGTAACGTAGGGAACTAGTGAGAGTTACACAGGACTGGAATGTCCACTGACTAAAGAACATGTTTTCCACCTTACAAGTTCATGTTTTGGGTGTGTTGCTTCCTAGCTGTCTATTTAGTGAGGCCTTTTGAGAAAGCAATTTCAAAGAATAGAAAATTTCAATTTTAAAAGAATAGTCAGTTGATTTGCATAGTTTGATTTCAAATTCAAATTAACATACAGTTATGTGTCCAATAAATTATGAATTTATTGGAATAATAATGGAATATATTTTATGATTTGAGACACTTTGTTCAGTAGATGGGGTTACTGTTGAAGTGCTTTTGAAACAATTACAACTAGACATTTTCTTGTGAGAGGGTGCCTAAAAGTGCTCCTTATGGCTCACGGGGGATGAATGGACGTTTCCTAATTAGCCTCTGTGTCAGGACCTCTTTCTTCTTCCAGGAAGTCCCACGCAGTATTAAATTGTCTTGTTCAGAGACACAAAAAGGGGCTTCAGTAAGGCCAAAAGGTTGAAGGACCCTCACTACAAAGAAATGTTTGATATTTAAGACCTGAAGCAAGAAAGTCAAGTGAAAATCCAGAGCCATTAGCAGAAGCTTTCCTTAGGGCAATATGTACAATTAAGTGTTATGTTATAAGGCCTTTTAGCAACAAGTGGATTTGAAAGATAAGTCATGTTGTGGCCAGTCCAGCTGGTAATAGCTTCGGTATACATTATATTCAAAAATTGTTTTATAAAATCACATCACTTCCTATAAAGCTCAGTGAGGAACTTTGAGCTGCATGGTACAGTTTGAATGTAGGATTGATTTCTAAATCATACTGTGTATAAAGGGTTCTGTGAGTATTTGGAAACTGAAGTTACATTCTAAATGTTGTTTTTGGATGGGTGGTATAAACCTGTGGAAAGAAAAAAAGCTCTCTGGTCAGGAAGAGTCTTCTTTGCTCTGCTTCCAGACACCACTCAGCTATGGTGCTGCAGTCTGTCATCGCTTAGCAAGTTTGTAGTGCAGCATTTATCTTGCTGTGCATAAGCCACTGTAATTTACAAAATTAAAAAACCCTTATTTATAGATTTATATTCAGTATTTCTGTGTGCATTCCGGCTGCTTTCTATAATCAAATACAAAAGATGACAAGCCTTTTTCTCTTTGTCACAACAGAGCCCAGGTTTAACAGCATTGAAATTATTATTTTTTTAGAAAGGCTCAAAATCATTCTGGGCACATCTGGGATTTTGAAGATAAAAAATATGCAGTTCTAAAAGGACTAGAAAGGGAGGCATAGGAAGATGATTTAAAATGATAGTGAAATATATCCTTTGCTTGAATGAAAGCTGCCAATGAATTAAAGACATCTGGACAGGCACATTGAATAACATTACTATGGACTGCAATAAAATATAATGACAACAGGATTTTAAATATATAACATATGTGTCCCTATAGGGTCCTTAATATTGTTGGCACAGCCTAGAAAAAAATCTTGAATACTGCTGTGGCCATTTGTATTTCATTGTGAGATTTTGATAACAGTAGTACTTTGACTGGCTGCATGTAGCATGTGCATAATTTGAAAACCTGGAAGCAGAGAAAAGTGATTAATACCTCTGTTTGTTTAATTAAAATGTATACTTCCAAATTTATCAATTATACTAACATTAGTGTGCTGCTTGGGTTAGATTTAGGGTCAATCCGACTCATGTGTCACATAGACATAGTGTTAGAGCTTAATATTCAGACCTGACTGTGTCAAACCTCAGCTTCGCTGTGCAGCAGGCTTCCTGCTGACTGAAAGATCATCATGATTATTTAAGCAGCAGAATCTGCACTTACTGTAGTAATGCAACCAATGTGTTCCTAAATATGATGGCATAAGTGTCTTAAATAGATTATCACCATCTTATATTATTAATATCTGACACGGCTTGTTTTAGTTAGGCTTAGCACTTTGTCAGTGGCTGCTACTCAGAGTTTCAAGTAATCATCTAACATTTCTTGAACCAGTGATTACAGGCAGAAGCAATAACTCAGCTTCTTTTAATGACACTGTATGCTGCCATTCCACTTCAGTATATAGTATCGTGCTGACTGGCAAAAGATTTGCTTTACACAAAGCTTGAATCTTGCTTTCTTGATACTGAGATTCTTAAGGTCATATAGGTATTCGGGTAATTTTTGGCTTAGTCCTAAAAGGATTAAAAGTTAATTTTCTACTTTTACTTTATTTGCTGTGTCAGTAAGCGGTTTAGAGGCTGTGCCACACATCTTTTTATTTTCAGTTTTGGTGTGTATAGGTTGAGGAAAATAGTGAAAAATATGAATGTTTCTGCTGTAAATCTGGGGTAAAAGCAAGTACAATGAGGAAGGGTGTAAACTTTTCTTCATTCTTTGTTAAAGCAAAGGTAGTCAATGTGTTTTTCCCTACAATGTGTGTGGTCTCTGATGGCACAGAGTAGTTCAACTGTGAGCAGTGAGCATGCCTCATCCAGAGGCAATTTTCTGATTGCTCACTGTAATGTTATTTGGCTTCATAGCCACTGTACAAGAACAAGTCCACTGTAAAACTGTTTGTCTTGGGTTTTATCCAGAAAATCTTTACAAACCAGAGCATATTTGTTTTCTGTTTTGTGGACAATAAGCCAAAGAGAAGACAATAACATAGTATGTATGTATGTATGGACTTATTCTTTTTAGCAAAATTACACTAAATCGAAATGTGGTGGAGAATTGCAGTCCATCACAACATTAATTAGAACATGAAGCGTAAAACACCATGAATCTTCCTTTAACAAAACAATTAAGAGTTATTTACAGCATGCACAGGTACTCATTTTACCACGTGTAACTGCCATCATTAGCAGTTTAACAAGAAGGAAAACCATTTATCTACAATTTTACAGAAATGGATGGAATTGATTTCAACTTTTTAAAATATTACTGATAGGCCTCACTTTTCCTTTATAAATGAAGTCAACCAAATGTTTTTCCTGGCAGTGTTACAGTAGCATCACAGGCAGTACTTGATATGTACTAGTGTTGTCAGATTTTCTGGAATGTTCTGAAGTGCACAGTGATTGCCGACACACACAATCATAATCAGAATGTGCTATTCTTCAGCACTGAGAGTCCTGGCACAGATCACTCTTCTGTTGTAAGGCTGGGAAACTTGGCAATGACCTTTGACCTCTGCCCATCTGGTTGAATGTCAGCTAATCTCAGCTTCTTTTGATTTTCAAGCTGTTGACCTTGAGTAGGGCTAAGTTTTTTGTTCTCTGTACAGTGCTTACAAGCAATAAATAACACTCTCCAAATAAGAGGTATTGAAATCCACAGGGGAGAGAGCTGAACATTGCCTAGCTTAGTGGAACAGCCAGATAAATAACACACAAGCTAAAAACCTGTAATAAAATTGGGTTTATAAAGGATTATTAGCACAGAGATGCCGTGTGAACCTTTTTGTATGCAAATGTCACCAGTGCTCTCAAAGGCGTATACATTTTCAGATGATATACTGTAGATGGAAAGAAATGTAATCCTAAGGATAGTTTATTTTTTGACATCACAAACGCATGTTATTCTAAAGAAAGATTCAGAAAAAAATAAGACAGGTCTGATCCTTAGAATATAGTTCAGTCTATTGTAATAAACATTATCCATGTATGGGTTAAATATTGTGGTTTGGTGTTCTGGGGGAATTCATATGGGAAATTGAAGGTAGAGATTAAGTAACCTGTAGTAGTATCCCCATTGTAAAATTAATCAAACATGATGAGTCAGTTATCCTAATGCTGTTTTAATGGAGTTTACGTTGTTTTTGTCGTTCAGATTTTGAGTTATCCTACAGAAGTGTAAGTTAATTGATGTAAATAGTAAACACAAACAAAAGCATCGTCCACAGTTCTAATCAATGGCCTAAATAAAATGTGTACACAAAACTTCATATTTTAGAGGGAGAACATGAAGCATTGTCTGGTTGAGCACATACTCATAAGACCATGTAAGACCATATTATGTTGCTGCTGGTACAACAAGACCTACTGGGATTTGTCAGTTGCGGGTGACATACAATACATATTCATGCTGTTTTGATTAATTAACTGCTCTAAATCCCCC